GGAGTGTCTACCGTTACCCCGGAGTAATCCTCCCCCCCCCCCGTCCTCGGAGGTTGTTCGCAAATCCTGTCTCCTCACCTTATGTGTATGTATATGTCTTCTACGACTCTACTCTTCTGGTTACGGCTAAAAACGCTTTTTAACGTGTTATATTTTAGATAAAATCACTAAATGGAATGTCTGTTTCCACTTTATACAACACACACACACACACACCCACACACACACACACACACACACACACACACACACACACACCCACAGCCTGGCTGGGAGTTTGTGTGTGTGCTCACACACCGACTCACAGCACAGGGAGGAGAAATCGGCGGGGCTGCAGCTGAGAAAAGATTGAGTGTGTGTGTGTGAGGAAGTCTTAAGACTTAACGTAACGGCTCCGCGGATTGGTCCATTTGGACCAATGGGTCCATTTGGGTATGGGCACGTCCATGTACCCAGGAAGAAAAAGAGAAATCTCCAACGAGGCGTTCTGGGGCAGCATAGACAGGTATTTTCTGCGTTAGAGTTTTACTCGCTACAGGGTGTACTTTGAGGGTTTGTGATTTGCAGACCGTTTACATGCATAAAAACCTTCATAACACACAAGGGGACGGGTAATAACCGGAAAAGCATGACATGGGACCTTTAAGTGATCCACTAACTTTCCATAAATTGCAATCAATTGTTTGCCAAACTAACGACATTGCCATATCTATGATTCTATCCTCACAACTGGTGTTTCTTTATTCCTTCCACAGTTGAGCAACACAGTAGTTTTGAGGATTATGGCAGTGCCACTTGAACACAAACTGGTGAATAACACCGGACTGGAGGTGAACCAAGGCGGTGCTTCTATCATCACAACCAATCACCTTGCAGTACAACTTAATGTGGATAATCAGGGAATAGAAATTCGCTATGACGTCATTGAGTTGCCACAATATGGTGAGCTCCAAAGGCTGCACTCAAGTGGCGACTGGAAACCGACAACTTCCTTCTCTCAGAAGCTTCTAAAGAAAGAACGGATCCAATACCTCAACACTTACCATGGTCTTCAGACACAGAGCAACGTTACTGATTACTTCAGATTTAAAATCAGCATCAGGTCCTTAGCTACCACAGAGGTTATTTTCCTCATCAATGTACGGTGGATCCAATTTAAGGTCACACGCAGTAAGATGGAGATCAACGGTGTTCAGACTTCTGTTGTAACTCCTGACGACCTCTATGGGATTTCTAAGGGTGTGAAACTCAATGAGAGCGACCTCTACTTTAAACTCCTCACAATACCAAAGAAAGGGCAGCTATTCCTCGACAACAAAGCTCTACAAAGAAACTCAACCTTCAGCCAAAAGAATATCACAGATGGCTTGGTGAAGTATGAGCTCTTCAACACGCTGCAGGATGACACACGAGACACGTTAAGTTTTCAGCTGTTTTCAACACATGCCAACTCAATAGCTTACTACTTCAGAATCAACATCAATGCAGAGTCAAATACCATCTATGTTTTAAACAAAGGCCTTTCAACCCTGGAAGGAGGCAGTAAAGTCATCAGCAAAGATATGCTGTTCACTCACACGGCAAATAACCGTGAGGTTCAGTACAGCATCACTGTGAGCCCAAGGCACGGCCAGATAAGAAGGATCAACCTTTCAAACTCAAGTTCCATAAACGACAACATTGTGACATTCACAAATCAGGATATCATTGAGGAGAGGATCATGTACGTTCACGACGACAGCGAGACTAAGCAGGATTCTTTCACTTTTAGCATTATGGTTTACAAACCGCACAAACGGACCAATAAGAAGGAGGACAGAATCAGAGCAGAACACACCTTCAATATCTCTGTGAATCTTGTCAACGATCAGAGACCTTTCAGGGTTGTCGATAAAGTTTTCCATGTAGCCCGCGATGGGCAGAGGTTGGTGATGTTGAATGACCTCCGTTTCCGGGACGATGATTCAGACTTTGAGGACAGTTGGTTGGTGTACACGAGGAGGGGGATTCCAATGGGAGACCTGGTGCTAGCAAGTGATACCAGTCACAAGCTCTACGAGTTCACACAACAGGACATCGAGCAGGTTAGCTCACTTAGCAATTTATCCAACATAAATGTGGTCATCTGGGTTGTAGAATATTTGGAATCACAAAGTCAGAGGTTAGTCTTCAGATATTTTTGTCAAGGTAAATACCCTCCTGTGTCTCACTTAATATAGCTTAGAAGCATCTAGAATTTGACCTCTAGATATTCTATGTTTTTTGTTTGCTAATGTTTTTTTGTTTGCTATTGTTTCCTCTTCTTTTCTCTCCTCTCAGAAAAAAGTGTTGTTTGTCCACAAAGGAGTGAGTTTTGGGCGTTTTGTGCTCTTTGTATCGGATGGGAAACATTATGTTTCAACACTGCTGGAGGTGATTCTACGTTTTTCGCACATTATGTATTAGATGTTTTTCTTTATTTATACTTTTCAGTGATGTTGGGCAATTAAACTCTTAGATATTGATATAATTAGTGGTATTGTGAGAATTGTTATGGTTTCCTTTAGCCAGTAAATTAGAGCTCATTCTACGACTGCTTTGCTGGTAATTAAATATCAGCATTTTTGTGTTCAAATAAATAAGTAAGTAATGATATTTGCAATGTGATGGCTGACTGCTGTTGTAAGACTTTAGTTTCTGACTGTTGTGTAGGTGATGGCGCAGGATCCTTACATTCATGTCGAGAACAACACAGGACTCATTGTCCAGCGAGGCGGGATCAAGATCTTAACCTCCGCTAATCTCAGCACCTTTAGCAACATGGACATCCGAGACCCACAGGAAGTTGTATTTGAGGTCTTCCTTCCCCCTAAACACGGAAGTCTCTGCTTTACGGATGGAGATTGTGAGACCGTAACAGAAGCAGATACACTTACAGCATTCACCCAGCAAGATTTGGTGGCAGGGCGACTAGCGTATCGCCATGGTGGCAGCCATGAGTTGTCAGATGGGTTCAACGTGACAGTAAAAAAAAAAGCAAGGAAAAATGACCCAGAGAGGCGACTGCACAGAAAGACGAGGGAGATACGTCTGGACATCGGAGTGAAAGTACAAATCTACCTGGAGGGACACCAGAGGTCACCAACTGTCATAAGTAACCGTCCAGTGGTGGTGGCAGAGGGACAGAATGTCTCTATCAGCAAGGAGCACCTAGAGGTAAGCCAATAAAAATAAGAAGACAACTCATGGAAAACTTGGTGGTCACTTCCCAGCCTGCATTTGTTTCTTATTTTGCAAACTAAGTTACTTGAAAATCTAGGAATATATTCAATAACTGTTTTATTGCCTGTCAATGTAATGCCTTTGTGGGAATTGAATGTATGTAATAGACTGCTCACCTGGTCATATATCTTACAAGGTAGACCTTCAAAGTAGACAAATTCCTACTACTTATTCGGTCGATAGTAAGATATAAAGATCTGGACCCAGGCAAGAAAATGACACTTTTACAATTCCAGCTACATCATAGGATTTTCCATTTCTATACAGATAAACTGATTTTTGTATATAAGAAGTTCAATGTAATGTTATAACTATGTTCCGTTTTGTGTAAACAGGTGGTTCATGAGGACAGCCAGCCCTCAGAGATAGTATTTACTGTCCAATATCCTCCCACCTGGGGCTTTCTTCAGCGTTATCCCTCCGACGACCACCAGGAACACAGTGGAGAACAGCAGCACCTATATCAGGTACAGTCAACTGTAGAGTGGTGGAGTCATTGCACACAATTCTGATTCGTTTACGACTCCCCCAAAAGGAGATATGACACAAACTCAGGCTCTTTGCAATGCGAAAAAAAACCTGTCAACACTGAAACTCTAGTTTACAAAAGCTACATTTTCAGTTATCCATAGTGCCATAGGTATGGTGTGGATGAAACAGTAAAACGCATAGAAATAATATAACTGTACATATAGGCTGTTCTAGGCCTGAGACTTTCAGAACTCCTAATAAATATAAACTTTCCTGAAAACAATGTATACAAACTATAGACTTACAAAATTAAAGCAAACTGGCCCTCAAAAGTTGCACAAGTTGTACACAGGACCAGCAACTTGATAACTTGTTCTGCTCTGTTCCTCCATGCAGAACATCAGAGAACAGCCAACAAATGTATTCAGCCAGACGGATCTTAACCAGGGATTGATCCTCTACCATCAGCAGGCTGCAGGACACACCAACGACTCCATTCTGCTAGAGGCAACCAACGGGGTCACAAAGGTCGGACCTATCAGGCTAGAGATCGACATCATCCCTATCCTGCTCCCTCTACAGGTACTGAATACATGTCTAGATGTTAGATGACCTTGAAAAAAATTATAATAATTCATAAAAAGAGAAAGAAATCCATCTTCCCAAACACAGGATTACCTAAAAGGGGTATCAATTGATCATGTAGCTAACTTCTTTAACCAGTCAATCAAAACTTTATCGATATCTAGGTGTCTTACTTAACCCTTGATGAGGGGTCATCCCTGTCCCTGACCTCTGACATCATCAAGGTGGCCAATCATCACTTCTCAGGGATGAACTTCCTGTATCAGCTCATTGTTCCACCGCGACACGGACACTTGGAGCACAGCCGGATCCCGGGCATGCCCATCAATGCTTTCACTCACACTGAGGTTTGGCTTAACACACATACAGACATGACACATTTTCAACTTTTTATTTGCTCTCTTGTTTTTTTGAAAGGGGTAATTAGGACATTTTATTCCGATACGAGTATTTAGGTATCATCTAATAAAGGTATGTTTACTAAGAATGCACATTTCTCAAAGCAGCAATAAATGGGAGAGTTGGGTATTTATAGTAGATAATTGATTTGGAAACAAAAACTATTTTGCACCAGATTAAACAGGGAAAGTTCATCCCTTATATAAAACGTTAACTTCTGTTTCCAGGTGGAACATGAGTACATCTTCTATATCCATGACGGCAGCAACACACTGAGGGACAGCTTCACCATTACAGCCAATCAGACGGAAATCAGGAAGCACAGTCTGCCCTCCACCGCTCACATCTACGTCACACCTGTCGATGACGAGACTCCTGTGGTTACAACTAATAAGGGTCTGAAGGTGAGACATGTTGATTGGAAGTAGACATGGCAATCATTTTCAGCCTAAATGAGGGGGTCTCATCTGCATTGCCTTTTGTTATGCCCCTTTCACACCAACGCGGTTCCAGGGCCGGTTCGGAGCTGGAGCTTGAAAAGCACAGTTTTTTCCTGTTCACACCGCAGCGGAGCAGCCTCTAAGCTCCGGAATCCGGTTTGTTTCAAGCACCAAAAAGTTGTCGGTCTAGAAAGCAAGCACCGAATACGTCACACTTACGTGGGAGGCGGGGGAAGGGGCAGGATCAACCTCTAACAACAACAAAAAGCCTAACCCTGTGTAATGTTGTTTTTATAGGCAATCATTTAAGCTTTGTTAGTTCCAGGTTTAATATGTGCAATAAATTCATTTCAATACGTTTTGCAATAAACATTGAACCAGTCCGGCCCTCGACTAGTACCGATTTTTTTATTTTGGCCGACTGTGTAAATGTGTAAGAACTTTTGAATGTAGCATGTAACGACTGTAAAGTTGGTAGTAAAGTCGTCCCATTTCTTCCATTTTGTTTCGACAGAGCAAAACGAGTAGCGGCCATTGTTGTTGTTGTTGATGTGAGGGGTTTCTGCGCGGTTTGGCTTTATGAAGCAGGCACGCAAACGGTTACGTCATGACGCAAACGATGACGCAATGACGCAGCACCAGTTGGGATCTGAGCAGTGTGAACAGAGCGGGAGCTGAACCGAAAAACCGGTTCCGAACCAGAAAAGCTCTAGCACGGAGCTAGAACGGGAAAAGCCTTGCTGTGAAAGGGGCATTAGTGAATATAGGCTCAATAGTATAGTACTTAAATGTGTATGAATGAACCTTTTATTGGGAAATATGTTGAACTAGACCAATAGATTAGTTAGATAGAAACCATGCTCTTTAGTCTTTAAAAATGAACAACTGTATGATAAAAATGAAGCTACTGTACTGAGCCAGCAATACAGTAGCTGTGGTTACAACTAACTAACTGAAGGTGAGACACGTTGATTGGAAGTAGACATGGCAATCATTTTCAGCCTAAATGAAAAGGCTGAAAATGCTTAATGCTAAGCTATTAGCATTAAGCATCCACAACTTGTTGATTCTACATTTCTGCTTGTGCACATACTAAACTAACTAAATATAACTGCTCACTTTAGAAAACTTAGAGGGGCTGGTAGGCGGATTTCTTTACCCTTTAACAAAACCTGGCTTGCTGATTGACCTTGTTTTCAGTCTTTGTGCAAGAGTAAGCTATGCTAATGGCCTTCTACATCTAGCTTTATTAGCATACAGACATTAGAGTGGTATTGATCGCCTCATCTAACTCTAAACTTGTTTTCATTGCTCAGGTCAATTGTCTTCCTTTCCTTTAAATCTTCCCTCAGGTTTGGGAGGGTTCAGTGACAGAAATAACAACAGATGATCTCAGTGCAGAGGATTCGGACACACCCGAGCCGGAGCAACTGGAGTTCGTCGTCACACCGCCCAGCAACGGCCACCTGGCCCTGAAGAGCGCCCCCTCCAGACACATCCTGAACTTCACCCAGAATCACATTCAAACCGGACAACTGATGTTTGTGCACAGTGGCGAGTATACTTTTTCTATTTAGAGATGGCTATGTCTTCAAGAGGAATTTGTCTGTAATAAACAAAAAATGAAGTCCTCTGCTTTCTTGACATTGACTCTTTTCTTGTGTAGGTGCTTTATCAGGTGGCTTTCACTTCCAGGTAAACGACGGTGTGAATGTTGCACCTCGCCAGATCTTCAGCACAGCTGCCCACTCCCTGGTCCTCACTCTGAAGAGAAATCATCCCCTGCAGGTTTCCCCAGGTACAGTTTTCAAGACCTAAACCCTTTTTTGATTTCAAGTGTTAATTAGTTTAATAGCATCATTCCAGCTATTGTTATTGATACAATGGGATCTGAAAAGATAAGCTAAATGTTGTGCAGTTATATAGAAAAAAGGCACTGGGTGGTATCATTATTCTAAGCATTAAGCTGCTTTTTTTTCCTGCCTACACAAACAGGTTATAATCCCTCTGTACCAAGTTAGACTGATGGGGCCACTTTCCACTTATTAACACACACTTATAAGCAGTCTCACTCGTCAAGGTTACATCAATGAAGCTGTTATTCTGATGGAATGGAACATTTAATATTGTAGTTGCTGTTTTTCCTGTTTCAAGATCTTTAAGATTAACGTGTTTTTTAGTGCGTTTAGGGAAAATGACTTACATGTTTTTAGCTCATCTTAGACCCTTTTATGACTGTTTGAACAGGAAGCATGGCGATGTTTATTGTGTAATTTAACCAGGACAATTTACTCTCTGTTTTCGAGCTTTTTCTCTCTCTCACAATTGTTTCCCAACTTTAAAGGCTCTGTGACACCAGTATCTGAGCTAGAGCTTCAGGCTGTGACCAACGATATCAGAGACACCAGAAGAAGCCACTCGGTGGTATTTGCAGTCACTGCTCTTCCCAAACTTGGCAGCTTGGTTAGACTTATGCCCGACAACTCTACGCAAAACATTTCCACGTTCACACAAAGCATGGTAGGGAAGTTTGTGTCTTCGCAACAAAGGAAAGCTTTTGTTAACCTCTTAAATTAAATGATGCCATGTCTTAATTTTTTCACTCAGGTGAATGAAGGCGTTATCTTGTACGATCAGAACAAGCCACAGCCAGTTGGATGGTCGGCCGCGGACTCTTTCTCTTTCACCGTGTCCTCTCTTCCTGCTCTCCTTCCTCCACACACCTTCACCATCTCAATCTCCCAACAGCCCAACAAGCATCCTGAGAGCCTTTACAACACCAGACTGCTGAACAACGCAGGTATGTGTGTGAGCAAAAATCTCTCCATCTTATTTGATATTTATTGTAACACATGGAATATAAGTTCAAATGGACCATGTGAGATGTTTGTTTCCGTGATTCAGGTGCTGTGGTGGCCGAGGGAGGCAGAGTGAAGATTGATAGGTCTAAACTAGATGCCTCCAATCTCCTCTGGAAAGTCCCAGAGCCTCAACGGAAAGAAAACCACATCCTGTACCGCCTGACTTCCCTGCCGCGCCATGGAGCTCTGTCTATAAAGGGTCATAACCTCACCAGGTGAAAAATAAATAAATGTCATTACAGCAATACAGACATTGCATATATCAGAGGCATGTCTTTGAATGTGTTAAAATGTCCACAGAGGCAACAGAAAAAAATTATTCTGGTGATCGATTTTCAAAATTCGGATCATTGTTTTTTCTTTACAGGTGAAACAAAATAAAATGAAAATAATTAACCTGCCAAATATTTATTCTCATTTTGCAAATTTTATTTTTACCTGTTTCCCAGATGGAACGTTTTTTTTAAAGACCTGAGAAATAGAATCATTACAAAACCACTTTTTTCAGATTAGGTCTTAAGTTATTCAGTCATGAACACATTAAAGAGAAAAATATTTAAATCAGTTTTATTAAAGAGAAAATAATAAGCAAAATTGTTCTATTTGTCTTTCCACAGGAACCATCCTTATTTCTCCCAGGTCACCCTGAACAAGTTCGGCATCACATACGTCCACGACAACTCAGAGACGACGAGCGACAGCTTCACTCTGCGGGCCTGGGTGGCTCCTTTGCATCACTCTTCCTCTTCCTCTTCCTCTTCCTCTTCCTCCTCCACAGATTCCTCCTCCTTTACCCCCCTCTATTCAGCCCTATCATCCTTATCTGTCAAGGAGAGAGCAGCAGTGACGGAGACGTTTAACATCACTGTGACATCTGTCAACGACCAGCCGCCAGCCATCATGCGCACAGCACCGAGTGTGAAGGTCGTAGTCGGAGAGAGAGTCACGATTGGACCAGAAGATCTGCAGGTGTTTGAAGAGCATGCGTAGCTGCACAACTTTGATTTATTTTGATCAGTTTGGAGATCATTATTTTTATAATTATTTATGAAATCGTTAATTTCTTCTTAAGGATGGGATAAGGAGATTAAAATATTAAACATCCACAGTATTTCTCCAGTTCGTAAAGCTTAAAAAATCATCAAGTAACAGTGATATATGGGATGATGACATAAAGTCTATATCTTCCACAAGCTTTTATTTAAAAAAAAAAGAAAAAAGATACCAAACAGCGCTGTTGATATTCCCCCTTTTTAGTTTTTTCTTTTTGTAGTAGCAACAATATTTTGCTATACATGTTATTGTTTTTTTGTGAGTAATTCACTTTAGATTCTAATTCAATCCTGTGATTCTACATGTCCAGGTTGAGGATAATGACACCCCTCCAGAGAAGCTGCACTACCATGTGATCAGAGAGCCCAACAACGGCTACCTGACTCTGGGGAAAGGACCGGAGCCGGTGACCACCTTCACACAGAACGATGTCAACCACGGGCGGCTGCACTTCAAACAGCAGGTGAAGAGGCCATCCGCTGAAGACCTAAATAATTTTTTTCAGAAGTGATGTTTTGTATTACGATTATAGCGACAGCAGGAAACAAACAAAGTCGCTGAGAGGCTGAGGCCGGGCCTGTTTGATATTGTGTGACACGCTACAAAAAACTACTTGCTGAGATCAAAAACTCTGTTGCAAAATAATGTGGTTTAATGAAAACTGGGATGATCAACTTATTCTCCTTGGACATGTACATCGTTATATTAATCAGAGCAATCATTTCTCAACAAAAAGTACAACGGCCCTGTGTCGCCCTCTCTTCCACACAAACCTCACGCAGGTGAACAGGATTATAATGAGTGCCGCCCATATCCATGTGACCCAAGCCAACCAATCAATTCTGCTCAAACCAATATCTTATATTAAAACAAAACGCAATACTAAACATGTGTCATGGCTCCTACAGCGATTATGGAATTGTATAACAGCATATGATAGAACAAGTTTTTGCTTATCCAAAAAGGTTTAAGGCGCAATAATAGAAATGTGTCAGATTTTACAGAAGAAAAACTCTGGAAATCGTATGTTTTTATTTTATTATATATTTTCCTAATCTTTCAGTTTGTTGTCTTTATAGAGTGCTATGATCCTTGTTGGTATGTTTATTTTATCCACCTTTATCCTGTGTTCCCTCTCTCAGGGAGAACCCTCAACAGGTATTTTCTACTTCAACGTAACCGGCCATCATCACCCACTCTACAAACTGCTTAGTTTGGAAGTGATAAAACCCTCTGTTTACATGGTGAACAACACTGGCCTGTCATTGGTTCAAGGTAGGACCGCCGTGGTCCTGACAACCAACCAGCTTGCAGCTCACACTCACAGGCAGGCCAACATTACCTACACAGTCACCAAACACCCTCGCCATGGACGCGTCGCTATCAACGACCAGGAAGTCATGAGCTTCAACCACGAGGACCTACAGTTTGGCCGTGTTGTCTATCACATGACTGATCTCAGTGAATCAGAGGACAGCTTCCAAGTCTCGGTTTCAGCGTCGTCCCACAGGGTAGAATTTGGAAATGTGACAGTGCACACGGTGAAGGTAACTGTGCTGCCTCTGGTCTACCTGAGGGAGCCCGTGAGAGTGCCCAGTGGTGTCCCTGTGAAACTGGGGAGGGGCATGATCGATGCATCGGAGCTGGCGAGAATCAGCCGAAGCAACCCGGTCTTTTGGGTTCTGTCTCCGCCAAAACATGGCAAACTAGTCAAGGTAAAGCATTTCATTTAAGCTTCTGAAAATGTTTAAAAGTTGCATATATACAGTTTTTCCATTTAAGTGTCTAAAAACAACTAGACCTAGAGAAATCTGTGATTTCAAGGTAAAGGTTAGTTTTCAATAGTAAAGTATCCCTTTAATCATGTGTCAGCCTTTTGGTTGTCTGCCAGAAGCTGTATATTATATTTGTATATCCAAGCATATTTTTACACCTTTTTGATCTTGGTCATTTATTTTAACCAAATGCTAGATTTTAAGTGAAAAACAAGAGTAAACGCAGCTGGCTGTCAAACAGTGTCAGAGAAAGGCTTTATTAAGTGTTTTTTTACCGGTTTTAATCACAGGTAATTCTGACTGCAATGACACCAGTGGAGGCAAACCAAACTTCACCTCTTGCTAATTGTTCTGATTGAGAAGCCCTAGGGACGGAAAATTACATATCATGCATTTAAAGAATAGTAAAAAGTCCTTCCTGTAACCATCTAACTTCCATTCCCTCTCTTTACAATGTGTCTGTTTCTGCATGTTGCAGATAACCTATGACCCTAACCAAGCTTCAGAGGTACTGCATTCGTTCACGTTCAGAGATGTGGTGCAAGGCCGGGTCGCTATCGAGGAGACTCTCAGTGACGGTGACAGCGAGCTGCGTAATAACAAGTCAGCTGGAGGCCACGCCCCCGCCACATCTCTCAGTGACTCTTTCACCTTCCTGGTGAGAGCTGGAAACGTCCAACCAGCAAAGGGCGAGCTCCACTTCACCATCTTACCCCACCACCATATGCATCATGGTCCAGGCAGTTCAAACACAGACGATGCAGGTCACACAACTACACATCTTCCGACACATAATAAGACTACTATAGGAAGAGCAGGTGAGCGAGGAGGTGATCGAGGGGTTTCCACGACGCTCAGCGGGGCTGGGGTGGGTTCACCGCCTCACATTTTGATGCATAAGACCCACAACAGGACACAGCATAAGTTAAGGCCTCACAGCCGCTGGGGGAACCACACCCGCAGTGGGAGTCACAAAGGAAGATCAGGGAGTCATGCAGATGGAGCAGGAGGGGGTCATAGTCACACCCCAAAACCCCACACCCCTCCAGTGTCCAAACACAGCCCACCGGCCCCTCCTGGCACCCACCCAGCCCACGTGGAGTTCCTCCCTCGCCCCGCCGCCGACCCTCTCCTCATCATCCTGCCGCTTCTCGCCTGTTTGCTCCTCATCGTAATCCTCGTAGTTTTGATTCTGGCGTTCCGCCGCCGCAGGGAGAAAGAGGCCCAGCTGCGGGTCCGGCAGCAGCTCGCCGCGGTGACGTTACCCCCAGAGGGCAGCCCTTTCCTGGGCTGGGCAGAGCAGAGCTTGGCCTTGCCCTCTGTGGTGGTCACCCCCCTCGGGCCTGCTAGCTGCCCCAGCTCACCCAGGGTCAAATTAAGTCACAAAAGGAGGAGTCTGGCCCCTGGGACGACCTTCTGGGGGCCTTTCGAAGCAGATGGAGAAGGTGAAGGTGGGAATATTGGACTTGATAACATTAATGAAAAAGATAATGTAATGTTCAAGACTCTGAGATCTAGATCCTCTATTCCGACTCTTAAAGACAACCAGTACTGGGTTTGATGGAAGTAACGCGAAGAAAAATTGTGCCTATTTGGTTTGAAGTTAATAAATACATGCTCTACATCTGCAGTCCTTTTAAGGCACATCTGACCTGCTTTGAACTTTTAAAACAACAAAAACATGCACATTTGTTTGTAGGAAATGCATAATAGCAATTATATATTAGTCCTTTTCCTGAACCAACTTGAACTGAACACATCTTTAGCTGTGTAGCTGTGAGGAATATAGTGTTTTACTTTGAGACTGTGGCTGAAACAAGGAAGTGAAACAGAAATGTAATAAAGCAGAATTTTTAGTTAATTCAAGACTTAGTTTGTAAATGCTTAAAGTTTAGGATGTCATTCCCCTCATTTACTGCTCTGCATGCTTTTCAGTTTTCTTTGTCTGGTGTTGCTCAAGGCAGTACGCTTTAAACATGTTATCGGTTTATGATAGTGCATACAGTATTAACAAGTCGTAACGAGATGTAAAGACATAGGCAGCTTTCTTGTGTCATACGTGACCCATTTTATGCAAGCCTCTTTGTTGTCCACTGTGAAATTTTATTTTTAATAAAGGTTATTTCTCTACTTACTGTATGTGTCTTAACCTCAAACACATCAACCTCAGCAATCAAAACTCAATTGGAGCAAAACAAAGAGTTTTTGAGTCTCATGATCTTCCCCTTTTTGGGGGGTGGGGGGGGGAATCAATATAGCACGGTACAACATTATCTTGTGTGGCAATATTGTGGTGGAAGGATGGAAGTATTGTTTGTTTTATCATATCAAATGTTAAACCTTTTGGTAACGGATGCTTTTTCTGTCCACTAGATGGTGTTGAGTTTTTCCAGTGAGGTCATAGGTGAAGGGGTTGGCAAGAAATTGGTCAAAACGAAGATGGGAGTCAAACTGCATGATTTGCAGTTGAAAAGAAAGGTAATCAATCAGAGAATATGATATAGTAATATTCAGCATACCGCAAACACGGGAGCCCACTCAGCTTATTTTCAACTACATGTTTATTAAGTCTGGTTTCAGTAATCTGGCATGCACCGCTGCTTGGATGCTGTAAAACATGGTTTGATTACTTTTAGAAATGTAAAGTAATGGCTCAGATAACAAATCATTTTGGATAAAACTCTCGAGAGGATCAAATGAAAACATGGAGGAGGAGGAGGAGGAGGAGGAGGAGAGGAAGAGGTAGGCCTGAATAATGGAGGGCCAGCGCCTGCAGTAACCTGACCTGCAGCCTGTGATCTGTGGTGTCTGATGTCAGCGACCAGACTGCTGCTGCCTCCACAGGAAGCGCTGGTGATAACAAGCTACTCTAGGAGAACATGTTGCACTGAAAATATACAGAATAAGGATGGTTTTGTTATACTAAATTAACGTAAAACATAAAACAACCTAAAAATAGCAGGTGTCATAGCACGTCTTGGCATTTACATGTGACTAGTTAAAGTGAAATATTTAAATATCCTAAACATATGCAAAGCATTTATATTCATCAAAACACTAATTGAAACACAAACAACAGGTCAAGTGAAACTATAATTTATATTTCTGAGAAATAGTCAACAATACAGATATATGATGACATATATTCTACTTTAATTTATTAACGAACAAAATGCAGTTCCAATGTAATATATTTAAAGTGTTAAAATTGTCCAATCATAGTGGATCACATGATGGTGAAGAACCTGACCTTTGTGGTATCCCATTATAGGAATGTGAAGTCGTATATGACGTAAGAAAATTGACCAGACAAACTCTAAAATTACGGGCACAAAAATACAAATTCAGTGAGCTCATTTTGGTTACTTATCGGTTTAACAATAATGTTTAAGAGTAGCTAGCATAACAAGAAGAGCAACCATAATTAAAGCCACTGTGTAGAATCTCAGAAGTAAAAAAAGACAGAATGGGGTGAAATGAACAGATTCTTTACCAAGATTGTCTTAAACTACGGAAGCCCAAAGATTCAAATGAGAAGAAGAAAATCTAGTGATCCATTTCTCCATTCAATCCAAACACAATGTACATGAATTCATTATTATAAGTCACCTAAAAGAAAACAAATTGTTTTATTCATGTTTAGAACATGTGGTAATGGTTCACTTCAGCCTCTTGTGGGCAAAAAGGAATTACAACAAAGAAAAACTGAGAAGAAAAAAAAAAGACATTGAAACAAAGGAAAGAAAACAATTAAGATTTGAAATAGAAAATAGATCACCAGAATGTTCTTTCTTGCCTCTTAAGGCTTCCGTATGCATTTATATTAACTATGCCCTCTGAAGAATGTCAAATATTCTTTAATCCCAAATAAAAGTCTACACATCTAAACCTAAAGTTCTGGATTCAAAGCCTTATTTCCTGGAAGCATCAATCTGTACCCTGAGCCTGACCTCTGAGCTACCCTGATTGACAGAAAGCAGAAAGACAGATGTGGACTTCGAGTTTTAATAACCAAAGGCCTGCAGCGGCCCGAAAAGAAAGAACTGTGGAGAAGCTTCTCAAAACATGCAGATAATCTGTCAAAAAACTCAGTTTGAGATCAACAATTATCCAAGGTCTGGCAAGATATAAACTAAAATGCAGAACATTACAAAGGGCTTCAAAATTATAATATTGTAATGAACTGACATAATAGGGAGATGTGTTAGAGATCAAAAGGAGGTCAATGAAATCCGACACCTGAATCAAATTCAGTAGAGGAGATTCAACCACTTTGCCTCTTTCCGTATTCACCAACCATCTGTTGTGTCCCATAGAAACAATACTGAACTGGTCATTCAAGTACAAACAGACAGACACATATAGAGATAATCATAAAAGTCCTGTCTTTCAATCATTAAAACATCCAGTTCAGGTGATATAGAGAGTTTCCTGTCTACATTCTGTGGTATGTTCCTGGTAGGCGGGTTTCCACGAGGCAGAGGAGAGATCACGTGACCCTGAAACCGGGAATGGAGAGGCTGCCCCGTCACAATGAAAACAGCTGTTTTTAATATCGCAGTCTCGCTGAGTTGCAAGATGTGCCCCGAGCGTCAGCAAATCCCCGTTACTGGTACATTCATCAGAGCCGTCCAGATAATCCAAGAAGTTGTCATTCTTCGGTCCAGATGCCTATTTCTTTTTTTTATAAAGTGGTTCATTTATTTCAATGCTCGTACCAGACCCAGAATTCACCGCATGACAAAGTGTACTCTCTGAATGGACCATAAGAAACCATCAATCCTCCATGACTGCCCCCTCCCTCCTCATTTCCTCAAAGTCTTTGTAGTCCAACGTTTCGGCTCTCTCCCTCTCTTCCTACTGGTCGTCATCATATTTCTGAAGAGCGTCCTGCAGCTTGGCGGTGATCTTCTGGAAGAATCCGATCTGCTCTTGGAGGTGGTGCTGCATCTGCGAGCGGAAGTCCCGTACGCGTGTGCGGTGGAAGTGCTGAATCTCTGCCAGTGTGGCGCAAGAAATGATGTTGCAGCGATCGTGGAGCTCGCCTTCCTGCTTTGGACAGTCTTTCACCTTGGTCAGTGCACCTGGAACAAAAGGGAAAAGGTTGAAAGGCTTAAACAAATTCAAACCGACATTGCAAAGTAATAGAACACCATTTTTAAATCGCAACCGCAATAACAAAATCTGATGTTTGGGTCATACGCTATAATGATTTATTGTTGTGTGCATTTAATAATGCATAAAATAAGGAACTTTGAGGGAAAAAAATGCATACTGAAACAATCCACAGTTGTAATTATTGGTCTCTAAACCATCACAATTCTAGTATTTTCCTAAATGGCTCTAAAAGGACGGCAAATTCTCCAAGATGACCATGACATTTCTTTTATATTACGTAAACAAACTGGTTATTGCATACTTTTTCCATGAGCCTTGAAGTTACCCAACACCCAGCCATGACTCACAAAGTCTGACTGAAAATTCAAAAGGGGAAGAAGAAGTAGAGTTTCAAAAAAGACTGTTGGGGAAATGATGAGCTAGCTTTAAGCCTGGCCATGGCTCTCCACCCTGACCTCGCTGACCTCTCATTTTGATCTCTTTCTCACATGTCGGAAACACTCACCTGCACAAGTACACTAACAAACTGAAATTAGCTTGGACTTTGTCCCCTTTGCTGCCAAGGCGATTACAAAGCTGTAATCTGAACTCTTGTACTGTTGGCTGGTGGGAAAACTTGTTCAGCTCTGAAACAGTCTGAACCCCCTCCCTCACACATACACACAGCCCCCCCCCCTAGTCTTCTTCTTCCTACTTCTCTTCAACTGTATCACTGGGAGGAAGGAGGAAAAGAGGGAGAAGAAACGGGGAGGAGGAGGGGAAACTAATCCTGAGAGCGCTCCATTTTGCATTCCTGCAGTCCCAGGGCAACATTGGACAAGAGGCCCAGGAATCTCTCCACTCATTTAAATCAGATGTAGCCTTTGAACCTCACAGACAGAACCAGCAATTGTAGGACGATAGTGTACATGGCCGTTTATGTTAACAGAGATTTCCACCAATAGAGCCAAGCAGCTAATCTGTGGAGCAATGAGGCCATGTTTTTGTAATTTGTTTAATGGAGAAACGTACAGGGCTGTATGACATAGATAGAAATGTGTGGCATGCAGACGAGAGGAGAAAGAAAAAAGAGAAACGTTTACGTGAAATGTGAGACCAGTCTTTTCTTTGTGTTCTAAAGAAAAGGAGTTTTGAGGAAAATAAAAAGTCTTGTGTAAGCATTTTTCCCTCCATGGTGATCCTTCAACTAATTGGCTGTTATGGAAACTGTCACTAAACCAGACGTCTTTTGTTCAAGGTAGTTATTTCACAATGATGACAGAAGTGCAGACTTTGCATTGTGGGGATGATGGATCCTCAGCAGACAGAGAAGTGTGCTGAGCAACAGCGAGTAATGGATTACTCAGAGTCAGTTCTTCTTTCCGTCAATGACTCCCTTTGTATAACCCCTAAACATGCTCGTCAATTAGTTTGCAACTGAACACATGCATGTTGCAATATGTTGTTGCTCTTTTGAGTTGGTTTGTCTATAGCTAGAGACAGAATCACTAGCCAAGTTTCTAAATGTTGCTTATAATATTTAAGATTATTTAAGGAATCAGTTTCAGAGCTAGTTTAGTTTAATTTAGTTTCTGCCTTTTTGCATAATTTTACATGAGAAAGCATGAGCTTATACTCCATAGAGACATTCATATTAATTTCCTTTAATACCGGAAATAAGTAGTCAATTTAATTTACTGAAAGCATATTACTCAACAACAAATAGATAGTAAGTAACGGTATCTTCCAGTGCAGCAGAAGTCAGGGAATGGTTCAAAGGTGTTAGAAATTAGACGACAACGCATTACTTATCAATCAGAAAATAGGCGCTGCCAGTCACGGGGATTATTGGAATTCAGACCGTGTTTCCATAGTTCCCAGCTGTGATTCTGTCGAGAGAACAGGGCTCAGCAGACTAGAAACAGTGCCTCTAGGTTTTGGCTAACGTCAGGACTTTGTGTGCCAGGAGCAACTCCCTCCTCCCAAC